ACAGATTCCCCTGTGGCTTCTGGGTTGATTTCAAGGCTCAGGAGCCAAGATTTGCATTGGAGAAACCTGATTATTCTGGTCCCTATGGGATAAAATTGGCTCCCAGCTTTGGAAAAGGTCAGGTCATATCAGAAATTAATGAGGCAGCCCCTCGAAACACCCGAACCTTCTCCAATTCTAATTACTTCTTCCTCCCTCCAAAAGACACCACTCATTTTTCTAGCAGCCAGTGATTCTCAATAGCAGGTATTTGGAAATATGGGGGAAGGAGGACAAGTTGGTTGACTCATGACTCGGTTAGAGTAATATGGGCATTTAGTGACTAGGGCTGCTAAGCATACTATAATGGACAGGAAAGTTCCACACAATGATGAGTCAGTCTATCAAATGATGAACCATTCTATCAAAAAGCTAATAGCACCTCCCCTGAGAAACACTGAGCCCCCTCATTTGGGGAAGACAAAAGTAGGAAAGAAAGGCAAACTGAAGAGAGGAGGGCAGTAAGAGGACAGGCAATGCACCCCAACAGAAGTGAGGTCATCAAGTAAAGGTTATCCAAGGATTAGTCTCAGCCCCCATCAGCCCCGGCCCCTCACCTCCAGCGATATCACTCATGGCACGCAAACTCCTTATTCTCATTCCCTCTACCACACAAAACAATGGACTCTGACTTAAATTACATCTTTTAAAAATTATCTTTATTTCCACATCTTTTCATCTGTTCTAATTATGACAGTTTCTGAGCAACTAATATTGGTAGTAATAATAATAGATAATATCAACTAAAAATTCTTCCATGTTGCTCAAGGGCTTAATTACTAAATCTGTGCTGTAATATGGAAAATTTGCTTTAGAGACTAATTCCTTAGGGGATAATTCTTCAGGGATTACTCTGCTGAATTAATACCCTCTTATGAAACACTGTTTGAGCCATGCTGGGACTTGGAACAAGGGGGAGTGAAAATTCTCTTGCCACCTCCCAGACTCTTTGTTAAGCTCTAGGCAGTATCGGGAGAGACATACTGCACAAACAAGCTTCACCACCAAGGGTCAGGGCATGGAGAGACCAAATGGAAAGAGACAGCTCAGCAGGCTTGGATTAAAGGGCAAATATTTTAGAGGCACTACACTCGATTATGTCGGAGACAGGCTCATGGCACTTTCCGTAACAAACAGATGCCGCAGAGCAAGGTAAAAGGTTCAGCAAGACATACAGACTGAAAGGCTCCCCAGGATAGAGCTGTCCAAAACGCAATTCTGTTTAAAATGAGTTGAGGTCTTGTTATAACAAGAGCACACTATCACCACAGATGCGGGTTTCCATGAAATAAGGTCCTTACAGACTAAAGCAATGCTGTCCAACAGATCTTCCTATGATTATGGACATGCTCTGTGTCTCTGCTGTCCCATATGGTAGCCACTAACCACATGTGGCTACGGAGCACTTGAAAAGTGGATAGTGCAAATGAAGAACTGAATTTCTAATTTTATTTAATATTAATTAATTTAAATAAAAACAGATCCATGTGGCTAGTGGCTCCTGTCTTGGACAACGCAGGAAAAGGCTTAGACTATGGTTTGGGAAAATGATCCAAGAGGCTATCACACAAAAAAAACTGTTACATATCATCTGACTGCCCAGAAAAGTACTTCCTCAGTACCCTCCCCATCACAAACATCAGAAACCACAAGAGCAGTGCTTCTCAACTTTATGTACCCATCAGAATAACCTGGAGGTCTTGTTAACCAGTTAACTGCCACGCGTCCAAAACGAAAACCATCCTTGCATCTACAGACACTTATGGCATACAAAGCGTTAAAACACTGATTATTAGGCTCACTCCCAGATTCCGATTCAGTAGGTCTAAACATTTCAAACAAGTACCCAGGTGGTTCTGATGGTCCAGGGCCACACTCTGAGTAGCACTAGGATAAAAACGTTAACATTCAAACATCAGCCTACCTCTATCAAAATGGAGCTTCCTTCCCTTGTCACCTTTCTGCTATACTGAAGTGCCTCTTTGTTCAAGGTACACAGAATCCTTCTCAAACATTCTTACAAGGTTTGCTTAAAACCTATGACTCTAAATGTATGACAGAATGTAAATAAACAAGACTCCACATATTATATCCACCACAGAGCGCATTTGTTGTAAATTTTGTGAGTGTGTCTAGTAATTACAGGGACCAGAAACTCAGAAAGGCTCAGAAACCCACCAGGACAATTTACGTCGAATCCCTGCACTGGCCCTGTTTCAGAGTCCAACTGAGGCTTTCTATTACAATAACATGATACTTCAGGTCTAGGTCAGGGTTATGCCCTCTTTCACCATCCCAACACTGAGTAATGTAAGAGTATCAAAAGAACACACGTCACATTAAAGCATGTTATTTATCATTGAAAGGGCACATGTTGAAGATACCCCTTTCCATATTCCCAAAGAAGAGAAGAAACAAATGTAAAAGTTCTAGAATAAAAACAGATTTCTCCAAACATTCTCTGGTCTTTATTGTATTGCCTGCAAAACCTATTCTAGGATCAGTAATCATTCAGAAGTATCTTTTTCTTTTGGGGGTTACTTCTTTATGGCCTTTGGTCTAATTATATATGAATCTCTTAAACACTAAAAGACCATCCTGTCAAAAGTAATTTCCTTGACTGCTCTTCTGAATAGCCTTCCTTCTGCCTCCTCCACTATCCCATTTTTAACTTTCCAAAAGAAAACCTTCAATCAGAAAATATTGTTGCAATAAACTAGGACATGAAGCCTTCAAATAAAATCAGAATCCAGGACTGTGCATCCTCTCCCAAGGCACCAACCCTCTGCCCTTCTTCAGACTCCACTGTTCCTCAAATGCTGCCTCCACAAGGATTAAGAGGGGTCCTTGGGTCCTGGAAATTTGGGGAGCCAGGTATTGTTTCTTCATATTTATAGAGCTCCCAAGTAGTCACACAGTGATCTTTGCACATCACTTTCTTTGGCTATTGAGTTATTAATACTGTGTCTATTTTACAGGTAGGGAAGCTGTAGACAAATGAGGCTAAATGATTAAAATATAGTCCCAGGGAAACTCAGAGCAAGATTAAATTGCTGGGCTACTGCAGCAGTGGTTCTCAACCAGGGGCCATTTTTTCCCCTCAAGGGACATTTGGCAACGTCTGAGGACATTTGTGATTGTCATGATTGTGGAGGAGGCACTACTGGCATCTAGTGGGTAGAGGCCGTGGATGCTGCTAAACATGTTACAATGCACAGGACAGCCCCCCACAACACACTGCCTAGCTCAGAATGTCAACAGTGCTGAGAATGGGAACATCTGACTCTCTGGCATCTCTAACAGTATTTCTTTGGTCCACAAATCAATAGTTAATGAATGGCTCCATCTACAATTTGATCCTTGTACAGTATTTACACAGAAACAGGCCAGTTGAGTGCTATTTCGGCATGCTATATTTTTTAGTTACTTTAAAAATAGAAGATACAGTCAGCTCTCCATATCCATGGGTTCTATATCCAATCAACCATGGATTGAACATATCCAGATTAAAAATTGTCCACAAAGTTAAAAAACAAACGAACTTGAATTTGCCATGCACTGAGCACTACTTCGATTACACAGGAATAAAGGGCTAGGCATACCTTGCTGTAGCCTATAGGTCACCTGCAAATACTATGCTACTTATATAAGGGACTTGAGCATCCATAGATGTGGATATCTGAGGGGGTCCTGGAACAATTCCCTCCAGATACTGAGGAATGACTGCACATGGGAGCCACAGAGGAAATGAGGAAAGACAGCAAAGTCCGGCTCCTTTCCTTTCAGGAGAAAACCTAGAAAAGACCAGGTCCTTTCCTTAGCAACCTCCAGGCCCTGATCTATGGTCTGTGTCTGGCTGCTCACTTAGATTCTTCAGTTGCTGACAGACTCTGCAGCTGCCTTTTCTCTGCTTTGCTTATCTCTGAGCACGTGCATCACTTCAGAGCAGTAATGGTATGCTTATGGGAATCTCCAGAGAGCTACCGCCCCTAATTGTCTATTTTGTTCAGTAAATTGTACTCATTACTGAGCCACGCGAGGCACCAATGGACAACAGCCTTTCTGGGAGCCCTCTGTCTGAGTCTGGGTAATGGGACATTGTCTGACAAGGGCTCCACAGTCTTGAACTAAGCTGCTTCACTAACCCTCCATCCAGTTTTTCAGCTGAGTACTTCTTTTTAACCCCTGTCCCTCCTTCCCAACCATCCTTATATCTGCTTAGATTTGTATTAATTATAGTTTTCTCTTTAAGGAGTCTAGTTTTAATTTAAGCACCAGAAGGTAGAGAACTCAGAAAGGATGTCATATCTTTCCACCTCTCCATTCTGGTCCTCCACCTAGACTCTGAAAATCTTCAGCAAGAATGAAACCCGCGATCTAGCTTTAGTTATAGTGTTCCCAATGCCCACATCCATTGCCCTAGGGACTGCAAACAGAAGAGGAATGAATGGACATATGACTTCCAGTAACACTGGGTAAGATAAAATAGAACGGGCGGAACCACGTGCTTAGCTATTGCCATTATCTACCAAACGTGGAATCATCAACTCTCTGGTAAGCTGTCTTTCCTCTTCGAAAAAGTGATTGATGAAGAAAAAAATCAAGCACAGTGATCCATGAAGGAGGAGGATGCTGAGAGGAGAACACGAGCCAGCAGAGTTAACACTATGAGAGAACGGAAGACAGTCAGGCCTAGTTTCCTTCTCAGGAAGGGCCCAGCACACCTCCCCACACATGTACATCCCATCCCATACAAACTCACTAAAAATTCTTGTGTTGAGATATTTCTATGCACAGATCCCATCCGATCACCCTGATCATGGTTTTATCTTCATAACTATTGATTTTTCACTGTGTCCATGAATTGAATCAATAAAGAGAACCTTCCACTGCACTGACTCCAACTAACTGTTGAGACAGTAAAACCAGAGAAACAGTGGCAGCGAATGCCTTTGACTTACCCTGGAGTAGAGGGTGTGAGAGCCTTCAAACACAGTTACATCCTCATGACCCATCAGTTCTGCTGCTTTTCACCCACTCACTTCTGCATGTTGGACTACGACTGATTAATCACCAACTGCCAAAGACAAAAATGAATGAATACATTAGACCAAAAGACCAATAACTTCAAGTCCCAAGCCACTGCTCAAGTGAATTTGTTAAAGTAGGCTGAGTGCTTAACATATAGACCCCAAAACATGTAATGGCTCAAATTAAAAAAACAA